GCTGGGATCCCAGGTGTGCACCACCTCATCTGAGTACATGAACATTCTTGAACCAGAGGTTTGGGGCTTTTCCTTTGGAACCTTTTAGAAGCAGCTGAGCAGGCTGGCTGAGAACTCTTGTGCTATTTATGAGGGATACTTTGCATGGGTCTCCACCCTGTGATCCTTTCTCCCTGGGCTGTGGTTTCCATGAGATGAGCTAGCTGGTCGACAGCCACACCTCCAAGGAGAAGGCCAGAGGCCTCCCTTTTTTTTAAAAAAAAATCTCTCAAAGTCTGTTGCCACAGAAACACAAAAGCTTTTCTTTCTTCTCAAGTCCCCAAACCGTATTTTTAAAGGAAGATAAGAAAACAAAACAAAAAAAAAAGAATCTGAGAAACAAATCTAGTTCACCTCAGAGATGCCGAGATGCTCACGTAACGGTCTGAGAGTACCGGATCTCTTTCCTGCCTTTCATGTGGTTCTGTCAACAGGGCTGCCAACATGGAACCCATCTCCTTGAAGAAGTCAACTATCTTCAAGAGGTGCCTTCTTGTTGGCGTCTGTTTCCACTTAGAATCGGGGGTGGAGAAAGGGTCCTCAGGAACTATAAGCAAATTTAAGGTCCAGGACCATCCAACTAAACATTTTTGCAGAATCCACGCCTTCTGGAAAAATCCTTCACACCTGCCTATCCTACCCAGATTGTGTACAGGGTAGTGGTGCCCACAGGGACATTTCTCCCAAAGTCAGTCTCAGCAATTTAGGGAGAAGGCACTTGGCAACTCAGCCAGACACTCTCTCTAATAAAATATTTTAAAAAGGGCTGGGGGTGTGGCTCAGTGGTTAAGCACCCCTGGGTTCAATCCTCAGTATATCTATATATAAGAGCTCCATACTTGAAGAAATGGGTTAAAGCTCACTGGCAAGTGTCTCTCTTTTCTTCCACTGAGTTAATCAGATTTGCTAAGCCAGCAATTTTGCTAATCTCCTAAAAAAGTTCTAAAACCCTTTCAAGATGAACATCTGGGGACATTCCCTTTTAGTTGATTTGTTTAGGGTTTTATATCAACCATCCTAGCACAGATAGAACTATTTCAAAACACGGCAATGAAGGGCAGCAGCAAGTCACACACTGTCTACTGTTGAACCACCTCAATGTGCCTCACGTGACCTTGACAAAGGATCTTGTAGCACCCAAGGATTTGGATTTTTGCAATAAAGATGCCTCATTATAATAGACATTAAAGTGTTCCTCACTGAAGCAGTGAATTGGAACAGGGTGGTTGGATGTATAACTAAGATCATGGATAAATGTCACTTTAATATTTTTTCAAGATGCAAACATGTTTTTGCATGGTTTACTTTAACTGAGTCCTGTCAAAAGACAGTGCTGACGTCAAGTCCCATTTGGTCTCATGGCACCATGAACAACTTTTGAGTTTTTCATTAATGAAAGTAGAAAATGTCTTATAGAGTCAGGATCTTAATTATTAGATGGCAACCTCTAATAAACCCACAAACCCCACCACCATTTAATCCCAAAGCTAGATTTTCCCGTTGAACACACTATGAAAAAAGTCTTTGTTAAACCGACAGTCACTGTTTTGGCCGGGGCCTGATTCTCTAGTGACGGATGACTGCGATAATGTCTCCCTCCCCCACCCATAACTAGTTCCTCTTTCTTCTGCCTCTTTTTTTTACCCCAGTCTATTCCACTGAATTTTATCCTTGAAATTCAAAACTGAATGGCTACTCCTCCATCTAAAACGCTATTAGAACCTATCACCTACAGGGGCATATACAGCAAGTCCCTCATGTATCTGCTTTTCCCCTGCCTGGAGTCTCTTTGGACAGCTTGGTTAATTTTTTTATTCTTCAATACCCATTTTTGTCTCTTTTGTGTTCTCTGATCCCTTGAGATGGTGTTTTCCCTTCCCTCTTCTTTGCCTTGTACATGTTTCTGTTTTGCAATTATCATACAATATAACCTCAGATAATTATTTGTTTAGAGAACTACCTCCTTCCTTAAAGATAAGGATCGTGTCTTTTAATCTTTGTGTGCTCAGCACCTTGCCCAATGTTGGGACATAGTTAAAACCTCAAGAAAAGTTTTGTTAAACTAAGCACAGTGTTTTAAAAATTAGTACTATTCCTTTGCAGACACAATTTAGTGTACCAATAAAACCGATTTCAGTGATGTAGGCAACCTGGTGTGATGGGAAGAGCATATGGCAAACCAGCTGCGTGACCTGGTTTGGATGTGGTGTGCTGTGATGCCCTGGCTCTGGGGGATGGGGGGTGGGGAGGATCACTACTCGTTTTATGGGTTGAATTGCGTTACCCTCGCATTCATATGTTGTAGTCCTTAGAATGTGACTTTCTTTGGAGACAGGGTCTTTACAGAGATAATCAAGTTAAAAAGATAAGTCCATTAGGGTGATGTTGTGGGTTCGATTGTGCTTCTCACCCCACCCATCTCATATGTGGAAGCAGTAATTCTGAACAGTAATTCAGAATGTGACTGTATTGGGGGATAAGGTTTTTACAGAGGTGATTAAGTTTCAGTGAGGTCCTTAGTGTGGGCTCTGGTCTAATTTGACTAGAGTCCTTTGGAGAGGACATCTGCATACGCAGAGACACCAGGATGCACAGGCACAAAGGAAAGACCATGTGTGAACAGGGTGAGAAGGTGACCTTCTGCAAGCCGAGCCCAGAGGCCTCAGAAGAATCACACCTGCCTACACCATCATCTTGAACTTCTAGCCTCCAGAACCATGAGACAATAAATTTCAATATTTTCAACCATCCAATTTGTGGCCCTTTGCTCTGGCAGCCCCAGCAAACCAAGACACTTTGGCAACCCTTTATTAATAGTTCTGTGGACACACTGAATCATAGACTATCACCTCTGGATGAAACCTCACCAGTTCACCATTTTGTTTGTTTGTTTTTTCAATATTAGGGATTGAACCCAGGGGCTCTCTACCATTGAGCTACATCCTCAGCCTTTTCTTTCTTTCTTTTTTTTTTTTTTTTTATTCTGAGACAGGGTCTTGCAAAGTTGTCCAGGCTAGACTTTAACTTGAGACCCCCAGTAGCTGGGCTTACAGGTGGCACTACCATGTCTGGCCAACTTGGTTAAATCATTGTTAAACCACAGTGAGAAGCATGAAAAGAGTTCTCCCCCATTTGGGGGAGGGGTGGGGTGTTTTGTCTTTCATTAGACTGTTATAACCAGAGAGGCCTATGCTGGGGAAATGGCTACTTCTCCCTCACAACCAAAAATACCTTTTAATTATGGCATATATGGCATTTTAAGTGCATCTTCTCTTCCACTAATAACTGTGAGGACTCCAGGATCAGACCACCTGGGTCCTTCACTTTTGTGTGTGATCTCATTTAACCTTTTTAGTTTTGGTCTGTGAAGTGAACATGGTTATACTACCTATATTATCTGATTGTTGTAAAATAGGAAGCAGTTAAGACCTGTTAGTAGTTATTATTTACAGATGAAGAAGTTTAAGGGAGGTTGAATGCTTTACCCTTGTAAGCAGGAAGGACAGCATCAGATGGGGGCCCTCTGGAAACATGCCCTACAAAGTTCCCACTATGCAACTCTGTGCTTAGTCCTGCAAGTGTGTTCTGAATGATCATAATAAGGGAAAGAGATCTGGGCTGGGAGAATAGCCTCTGAATATGATTTGTATGCAAGCAGGTGGACAGATGATTGACACCTGTCATGAAATGGCTGGGAGAGGCAACGTTCACTGTACTGGGTCCATCAAAGAACTCTCAGTTGCATACCAGACAGCAGCAATTCTTTCCAGTAATAATTAATTAGTAATAATTACAGCAGTAATTCATCTGAAAATGCTCGAGAGGAGTCTCTGTTGTAGAAAATGCTATGTTGAGGGCATAAGTAACTAGATTTCCCTTTTCCCCATCACTGGTCATCTGGGAAAGACCTCTGCATAGACAGCAAGTCTATTGTGGGCAGGTGTCTCCTTAGAATGACTTGTTTCCCCCCAGTGAATGCAGAGGACAGAATGTCAGGGGATTAGCAGTGCCTCACAGAGCAGTACTTTGTTCCTTCTGTCCCTGAACCTGCCTGAGGCAGGGATGCAGGATCTTTGGTGGAAAGTGACAGAGTTCTATCCTGCTCCTACGGGGTTAGGTGCACTTAATCAGCTCTTTCTTCCAACAGTACGATGGTAATTTTTTTTTTCTACAAAAAGATCCATCAAAAGATCTAGGTTTAGGTGCTAACTCCACTATCTACAGGTTGAAGAAACTTGAGGTGGGTACTTAAATGCTAAGATCTTCAAGCACCCATCTGTCCAGGTTATTGTAAGGGCCTAAAGAGATTAAGCAGATGAAAGTGTTTTGCCAATAATATAATGCTATGCAATTTATTGATAGTCCCCAAATTTCACAGTCCAGACCTTAGTGAGTCCCACTTTTTTTCTGATTCCCATGGCCTTTTAACCTGCTGTGAGAGTCTTTATTCTTTCCATAAAATGAGGCCTTCTATTGTATACTGTGTTTCATTATTTGAGCAAATGTTTCATATCTGATTTTGAGTAGAGATCATGTATCTATTCCCACTTTTCTATAGCATAGGTGATCAATAAACACTTATTGATGGTGTAAAACTGTTCCACCATTAGTAGGACGTGGGCTTGGGATGTGGATCTGCCCCTTTACACTCCCTAAACCATCCTTGTAGGTTGAACCCGGGACAGGAGGCAGAGAGAAAGGATCTCACATGGGAGACCGAGGTTCTGTGTCTGGCTCCATCTTTTCTCATTGGTTTCCTCAACTGTGGTAATAATGTCACCCTGGTTAACATGGCAGCATGTTCACTGAATGCACAGGGGAGAATTTGCAAGCTATAAAGAAAATATAAAGCCCTCTTGCCAAGGGGAAGAACTTGGCTGTGGAGGCAGAGCAACTGGCCCAGTTAGGGACTGAGCCCACACTCATTAATGTGGCACCCTGGCTGCCACCAGCATACTCACCTGAGGACTTGAAACCGCACCTGCGCCCTGGACTGAAGGTCTGGGAGCTGTTGCTGACGGGGTTGCTTGCAGTGCAGACGTAGACATTGTCAGCATGCTGCGGACCAAGGGTAAGGTACAGGAGGTGGGAGCTGTTGGCTGAGCTCAGCAGGTGGGTGCCCCCCTCACTCCAGGTGTAAGTCACGTGGTCCCCCTTCTCTGCTGTGCAGGACAGTATCAAGCTGCAGGTCCCATTGTCTTTCTCTTGAGTTGTGTTTAACACTTGAATTTCTGGAGTGGAGACCTGCTCTGTCAGGTGGAGGAGGAAGAAGGGAGCCATCACTGAAATGAAATCCTTGGAATTCTCTCTTGACATTTTTGTTAAAACAAAGTATAGCCAAATGACACGTTTCTCACCCTCTCTGATGGGACTGCAGTATGATTTATCTCTCGTGGCAATGATTATTTTGTATTATCTCTCCTGAGATAGAGTGGAGAAGAATGTATGTGGGCAATACTGTTAGGACTACACTTGCCCTTCCTGGTGTTTTCTCTCTCTCTCTCTCTCTCTCTCTCTCTCTCTCTCTCTCTCTCTCTCTCTTCTTGTGGATTGAACCCAGAGATTTACCACTGAGCTACATGCCCAGTCCTTTTTATTTATTTATTTTTTTTGAGACAGAGTTTTGCTTAGTTGCTGATGCTGGCCTCGAAATTGCAATCCTCCTGCCTCAGCCTCCTGAGTCACCATGCCCAGCTCTTCCTGATGTTCTTGGTCTAGAATGTTCTCCTGTATCAGGGAGTTTGCCATCAACTAATCACTCATGGGTTTTAATTTAAGTATGACCTCCTAGACATAAAAGCACTAGTTTTTAGTGGTAGGATTTCATCTTCTGAGGTGGCCAGAGGTGGGAGGACAAGTGTTTCTGTGTGACTTCAGGTAGGGATAGGTTCTCAATCACAGCTGTAGGCTCCATCAATCTATCCCACACGATAGCCATGAAGAAATAGGCAAGGCCAAAGGGAAAGTCTTATTGATTTATAACTACTCTAAGACAAGAATAGTTCTGTGGTATCACATTCATCATCCTCTTTAATCTTCTCAACAATTCTAACTCAAGGGCCAGGCATGGTGGCACATACCCTCAATTCCAGTAACTTGGGAGGCTGAGGCAGGTGGATTGAAAGTTTGAGGCCAGCCTTAGCAACTTAACAAAATCTTGTCTCAAAATAAAAAAAATAAAAAATAAAAAAGACTAAAGATGTAGCTCAGTGGAACAACCCCAAGGTTTAATCTCCAGGATGGTGAAAGAAAAAAAAATATAAATATGTATGTGAGCATATATACACATATATAACCTGAGTTACAATCATTTCAATTTTATAGATGAGAAGACTGAGTCCCAGAGAAATGAGATGTCTTACATAATATTGCACAGCTTCCGGGGGGCCAAGCTAAGCTAAGATTGGAACCTGGTCTTGTCCCCAAAGTCCAGCCTCTTTCTTGGACTTGAGAAGAAGACCAGGGTGCAGAGACCACATTTTCCTACGTAAGAATTTGATCACAAAATGGGCCAAAGGCAGTAAACACAGAGGAACAAAAGGACAGTATACGTGACATGTAGGTTGTTTTGACGCATTATGCGTGGCCTCCATGCTCACAGGTACCTTGCTCCAGAGTCACTCTTAGAGTGGCCAGGACTCCTGGGTACCTGGTCCAGGGCTCTGGGAATTCTGCATGCCCTGTTTTCAGAAAAGGGAAGGAGGAGGTCTGGGTTTGGTTGGGGTCAGTGGTGGAGAGGGTACTGCTGCCTCTCCTCTAGATACCCAGCATTGAATGCTCCCTGTTCCATCTTCAGAGATAAGGAAGTTACTTCATAGAAGCAGGAAAGCCCCAGATGGCTGTTGGGACTTTTGGGAATTCAGGTGAGCCTCTGGTTCTAAGCAGTACAAACTTTGGGTGCATTCAAGAGGGTTGGTAGTTAAAGAGGCTAAAATAATCCCCGACCTTGGCTTTAGGTGAACCTAAGTTCTAGTTTAAATTCTGCAACTAAGTGACATTAGAACCAGAGCTTTCGTTTTAAAAGCGAGAAAAAAAAAAAAAAGTGCTTCTTCCATTATGTAGGTGTGATCCAGGGCACAGGGCTGAGAGAGCAGAATGTGGGCGGAATTTCAGCTCTATCAAGAACCCACGCTGCAATGAGCCACCTACACAGACGTGTGTATGCATGTGCAAATGACTTCTCTGGATTTCAGTGTCCCCATTAATGAATGAGAGGTCAGGTTGGACCAGTGGCATTCAAACTTTTGAAAAATCAGGAAAGATTCTTTCTTTCAATAAAATCTTATTTGCAAACCCAGAGCCTTGGGGGTGCAACCCCTCCAGTCCACAGGCAGTGGGGCCCCTTTCCATTGGAAATGGGTCAAAGTGGCTAAGGCCAACCAGCAACCACCAACATACAATTTGTGCACTTCCACGAAGCACAGTTTAAATACCCCTCGGACTGGATGATCTTTCCAGTTGCTCCCAATTCTGAATACCCTTCCCCAGATTCTTGGGCCGGGGACCATCTTCCCATCATTACCATAAAGCTCCAGCTGCACACAAAATTGCCGGACCGAGATGTTTTCCTCCAGGCTCATAAAGTACCATCCCTCGCTGTCATTCTTGCTGCCCAAGATCACCAGGCTCAGGTTTTCCAGGTGGAACTGATAGCCATCCTCCAGGTAACTCGGAGAGCCCTTTTCAGATGGATCGAGAGATACTATTTTCTTCTTGATGCTGCTTTCTGGTGACTCGGCCATGGTGACCAGAATATGAATGCTTTTGTTCATGCTTTTGTTTATCCGTTCACTGGTCAGGGGCAGCACCACGTCACTTCCCAACGGCCAGAGAATCTTTGGGCAGTTCATCACGCCCCCACCTGTGGAAGGGAGAAGAGAGCCCCTTAAGATGAGGGCCTTTGAGAATTGCATCATGTTGTGGATCAGGAATGACAGGCTGAGGTTCTCCCCACTCCTCTGGAGCTCTCCCTGGGGTTGCAAAGTCTTTAGTGGTCTACAAGGACTTCCATGAGGAACCTCACTATACTATTCATATTTCAAAAATCTCAGTGGAAATTTTTTTTTTGTAATGAGAATTGAACCCTGGGGCACTCCACCACTGACCTACATCCTCATCCCTTTTATTTTTTTAAAAAAATTTTTATTTTGAGAGAGGGTCTCACTAAGTTGCTGAGAATGGCCTCAGTTGGGTGATCCTCCTGCCTCAGCCTCCCCAGTTCTTGGGATTACAGGTGTGCACCACTGTCCCTGGCTCAGTGGAAATCTTAAAACGACTTACAATAGAATGGTATTAACTAACAGTATCAATTTGGATTTTACAGTTAAGGTACTTAAACCAGAAATAAGACTTCCCTGAAGTCACATTAGTAAGAAACTAGAATCCAGGTCTGCTCGTTTCTCTACCAGAATTCTCAATGCCATTGGGTAGGTAGGATGAAAAGTGGCAGCGTTGAAAGAGGTTCTGAGCTCATGAGCCCAAGAAACTAGAGTACAGAGGCATCAGGGCAAGTGACAAGGAAGACGGAAAAATCGGAGAGACTCAGAATTAGGGAGACGACGGTGAGTCCAGAGTACAAACTGAAATCCTAGCTCTCCAAAAATCCCTGAGATAATTAATAAAGCTGAGGAGGGAGATATTATTTTATTCTCCTTTTCAAAAAAGCTGAGCCAACAACAAAAGAAAACACACACACACACACACACACACACACAAAACCAAAAACCTTTCAAACCACGGTAAGGGATCCTACTGCTGATTATTTAACACCTCCTCTCTGCTCAAACCCACAAACTGTCTTTCTCCCTCCTCTTTCACCTGATGACCTTGTTTTCTACTTTACTGGGCAAAAAGATCACCAAAAAAAAAAGAAGAAGAACTTCCATTTATTAGCATCCTAAGTCAACCTTCCCACCTGGATGGATGATCTGCGTCCTGATGAGAACTTACCCCCAGAGCTCTCACTTATGTGAATGCTTTCTCTCCTGGAAGTGCTGCACTGACTGCATTATCATTTGTCTCCTGTGTTATTTCCTCCCGTGGACAGCAGGCAAACATGTAATTTCCCTCATCTTAAAACTTCCTTCTCTAATCCTAGGTCCAGACCCAACTATTTCCTCATTTCTCTCTTTTCCTTTATAGAAGGTCCTTCTCTTCCCATTTCCCTGACCCACTGGAACCTACTACTCACTAGAACCACTTTTGTCAAGGTCACTGTCAACGGCAGGAAGCCAAGTCAATTCTCCTTTATCTTCCCTGGGTTCTCAGGAGCACTTGAAAGAGTTCATGGCTCCTTCCTTGAAAACACTCTCTTCGTTTGGTCCCTGAACCACCACTTTCTATGACTTCTCTTGTATTTCATGGGTTTACCATTCTCAATTTCCTTGGTGGGAATCTCCTGCTCATCCAACTTCTAAGTATTGCAGTGTCCCAGGGCTCAGACCTCAGACTTCTCTACCTACACTCACCCAGTTTCTCATTCAGCTGCTGAGTGGCATATTTCTGCAAGGCTTGCAGAGTCGCCCTTTCCAGCCCGGACCCTCTCTGTGCTCTTCACACCTACACAGATCAGCACGTGGAGTCGGGGGGCAACTAAAACACAGCACAACATCCTCCTGATCCCATAGTTTCTTCTGCAAACACTGTTATTCAACCAATTTCTCAGACAAAACAGTGGAACGATCCTTGATTCCTTTTTTTCTCTCCCACTCCACATTCAGTTGAATAGAAAACCCTATTGGCTGTAACTTCAGAAGAAGTCTGACATCTGAGGACTTCATACCTTCTCCATCCCTACCGCCATCATCACAGACTCTAGGTACTGCTATGATCTTCCAACTCCTCTCCATAATGGGCAACAGGTCCATTTCATCTCTTTCTCCTTCTTCCAAACTTCCAGAGCTTTCTAGCACTCATAGAATGAAGGTCACAGTCCTTGATTGATGCAGCTTCAAAGATTCTGCATACCTGGTCCCCTGGTACTGCTCTATTTCCATTTCCTGCCCCCTGTCTCATTCTCACAACACTATGGCTCATATGTTCCTTAAACTTGCCAAGAGTATGTCTTTTGTTGTTTCTCTCTAAAAATCTCTTCCCTACGCGCCTGGATAGTTCATTCCTTCACTTTATTTTAGAATGTTTATCGGTTTCGGTACTCAGGGTCATTTTACCACTGAGCTATATCCCCAGCCCAATTTATTTTATTTTTTTTGAGATAGGGTCACTAAGTTTCTCATGTTAACCTCAAGCTTGGAATCTTCCTGTCTCAGCCTCCTGAATTAATGGGATGATAGGAATACACCACCACACCTGGCTCTCTTAAGTCCTTACTGAAAAAAATGATCTCCTGTGACCATGTATCAAAAACAGCCCTCTCATTGCTCTTCTCACTACTTGATGTTACATATGTTTATTTTCTCTCCCCCACTTCAATGCAGTTCCCTCCAGAGGAAGAAGTTAGGGCCACTATTTTGGCCCTATGATCCACAACAGTGCCAGGCACACAGTGGGCTTTTAATAAATATCTGTTCGATTTATGAATGTTTAAAACCACACTGCCTGACTAATCTCTTAATTAACTTCACCCGACATGTATGTAATTGAGTTTAACTATGGGCTAGTGTTCATAAAAGAAGCCCCATGACTCAGAGAGAGCATAGATTGTTGTCGTTGATAAAATTAAACTGTCTGCTTCAGTAATGTGTCTACCTAGAAGAGACCCCTCCACAATCGGCTGTGGTTAAGATGAGCTGTTGGAAAATTGGGCAAACTGATCAAAATATTCTTGGTACCAAAATGCTCTGAAATTGCCACACTGTCTAACAAAAGGCCAACCTAATATCACTAGAGATCAGTGATTGTGGAAAAAAAGAAATGGCGGGCCACCTGAGCTAAAACCAGAGTTAGCTTGTTTTAGATCCATATTTGTTAATGAGAGGCAATTAGACATTCGTTCTTTTACATATTGCTAATATATTCATCCTTGAAACAGTGCTCACCCCTTTGCTGGATTAGATGAAGAAGGCTATTGTTAGGTTCTTGTTTTTATGGATACATTGGGAAGCATGCGGCTACACTTAGGAATGCCTGACTGTCCAGAAAAATGTGTCCTCTCTGGTGGTCACACACCTCACTTGTAGAATAGTACCAGAGAGAGAGTCCTCTCCTGAGTTCTGATACTTGAGAGTAATCCATGCAAGTACAGACCCCCTGAATTTGTGTACAAAAAGTTGCATAGGTAAATATATGTACATTTTTCCAAGAGTACTTCTATATATATGCTGTGTCTCAAAGGTACCTGAGATTTTAAAAAATTAAAATCCCTGTTGATTTTTAATAACTTTTGCGAGTGCCTTAGAAGTACACCTAGTAGAATAATGTATGAGTCTAGTGTGTAAAAGAATAATGTATAGTATATAGTGGAATTTATTGTCACGTATTTGTCCATACATAATATGTTTTGGTCGATTTCATACTGTTTATCTCTTTAGATCAATTTCCATATGGGGCAAAAAGGAATAAGAGTTATTGTTAGTCTAAAACCATCACCCTTCATCCCCCCAAATGTCTCCAATGCACCCCCTTCCTCCCATCTAACCCTGTGGACTCTGGACTAGGGAAGGGAGAAAGAAAAGGGCAGGTGCAGATGACAACAGGGCAGGCTGGGTGGCTCACGTACATGGGAATGGAATCAGAACGTGGCCAGGAAGAGACCTCAACACCTCACCACCCACGTAAAGAGCGATGACATAACTCCTGCACCTGTGAGTGGCCAGGTCCCGAGGGGGCGCTTGAGATCATCCCCACCCAAGCACAAGTGGAAAAATGACTGGAGCTTTAAAGTGGTTCCTAAAGCCCTTCAAGTGGCGTCCCTGCTCCTGGAACATCCTCTTGCCTGATGAGCGAGTGTTTTCCAGTGGGTCTGTGATTCAGTCAGCCCCTGTTTACTACCAGGGTCGGGAGGAAACATTTACAGTTGTTTACACCAACTCACTTTCCTTCATGGGTGATTCACATGGACCCGTGAAGACTGGCCTGAATGGAATCTGTAGGATTCAGCAACCCTTTCACAAGATGGGATTCTACCTGATGATAACTCTGGGGGGGGGTGGGTGGGGGAGGGCTGGCCCTGATACCTCCCATGTTCTTTTAACACCTTTCTATAGCATTTGGTGGTAGTGGGGGTTGGGTAGAGAAGAGACAGGACTCACTGGCCTCCCAGTTCTTATGTTACGTTTAGGCCTAGAAAGAAAAGATAAATTATCTAAGTTTGCTCTTTAAACAAGTATTATTCCTAATCCCTGATGAAAGAGGTTTTTTTGTTTGTTTGTTTGTTTGTTTGTTTGTACAGGGCATTGATCACAGGGATACTTTACTACTGGGCTATATTCCCCAGACCTTTTTATTTTTTTATTTTGAGACAGGCTCTCACTAAACTGTCCAGGCAGAGTTTGAATTTAGAATCCTCCTGCCTGAGGCTTCTGAGCTGGGATGTCATTCTTACTCAATTATAAGCTTCTAAGAGTAGGGGCTGTGTCTGTGTAACTCCCACCTGGGACACATCAGAAGCTCAGGGAGTCCTTACTGCCCAGGTAAATCAATAAAATGGAATAGAATGAATGAATGAACAAATGGGAAGACAGACTCCAAGTTCTCCTCTCTTCACAATCAGAGTGCTTTATCTCTGTAACACCCTTAACAGGTATTGTATAGGGGAAATGATGGAGACCCTTGTCCCCACTTGCCAGGTGAAGAGGTGGTACGTGTCTTCGCTGTGAATCCTAGGTTTCAGGTAGAGCAGGTGACTTGCCATTTCCCCAAGCAACCAAACCCTTTAATTTCACATTTGCACCTCCATCTAGAATTATCTTTTCCAAGTTCCATAAAAATCCAACCTACCAGACCCAGGTATTTGAAAAACAACAACAACAACAACAACAACAACAACAAAACCACACACAAGAAACTGGTAACAGTGGTTATCCCCAGCAAGGGGAATGGAAGAGAGGTTAGTCCACTCTTTGCCCTTTTGTATTGTTGAAATTTTATAGATGCATATGCAACACCCTTCCAAAAAATTAGGCACAAAAAAGTTTAATGAAAATTTGCACAATAAAAAAATTTCTATCCACTGTCCAAATTTCAGATCCAATACTTTCTCCATGCTGCCTAATTTTTTTTAAAGAGAGAGTGAGAGAGGAGAGAGAGAGAGAGAATTTTTAATATTTATTTTCTAGTTCTTGGCGGACACAATATCTTTGTTGGTATGTGGTGCTGAGGATCGAACCCGGGCCGCACGCATGCCAGGCAAACGCGCTACCACTTGAGCCACATCCCCAGTCCATGCTGCCTAATTTTATCATGGGACCTGGATACAAATTTTAGCTTTCTTCCCACTCCCCAAACATAGGCTTATGACCTAATTTCACTCATTGAGACCTTGAGTTAGGCTATATTAACACAGAGAAATTGTTCAACTACCCTGTGACTCTCTTTCCTCATTTATGAAGTTGTAACGATGACAATAGTAATAGAAATCTCATAGGTTGATGTAAGAATTAAATAAATGACGGATACATAAAGCACTTAGAATGTGCCCAGTATTTAGCAAATATACAATAAAACTGTGATTCATTCAACACACGTCTATGGACAGGCTCTGACATACCAGACACTGTGTCAGGGGCTAAGAAGAGGCTGTGGCTGTTCCTTTTGCTTCCCTACAATCTATTAATTCTTAATAGATTGTTGCTGAATGGAATCATCCAAAATCAATCTACAGATAAAATCAAATAGCCCCAAAGTTCTGATTTCTAGTCCAAGAGACAGCGAAGGGGGGAGGAAATCATGCAGTATTGAAGTTTTTGAGAACTAGAAGTGCCTCTATCAACATCCTGAGATAGATTGGGCCAATGAACAATCAAGGGGGAATAAATTCTAGACAGGCTCTTGTCCCTCACCTCTCACCTCATGTATGTGAAGAGAGTGGGGAGGCCCTGCAAGGAGAAATAAAAAAATCTCATTGGGGTAGGTTCCTCAATCATAACGAATGTACCACCCTAGTGAGGGATGTTGGCTATGCATACACGGGGGCAGGGGGACATGAGAACCCTATAACTTCCACTCAATTTTGCTAAAACTTCTCTAAAAAACAAATCAACCATTTCACCAGAACTTCAACCTTTTTTTTTTTTAAATTTTTAAAAGAATCTTATGGGGGAAATGGAAAATTCACTTTGTAGAGGGAAGGGAACATGTGGACGTTTTCAATTTTTATGATTCGGACTGGGAATTGGAAATGGAGCTGAATGGAAGTGGGGAGGGGAGTGGGTACTGATTTTAGAAGAATCAAGCTTCTTGGTTGAGTAAATCTGTTCATGACTGACCTGTCCCATTTGCACACCATTTCCTTCTGGGTTTTATTGGGGTTTCACAAAAGGGTGTGAATTTAAAAATAAAAACACCCCAAAATTTTTTGAACAGATTTCTGAAAATGGAATGCAAGGACGGAACAGCCACCACCCCGCCAGCCCCGTGACCTCCAGAGCCTTAAGGGGAGCAGGTGACCTGAGCAAGACTGATCAGGAATCAAGCAGAACAAAGATGTCAAAATCCATCCCACAATTTAGCCCCATCACTCCCTACAGCCACCAAAAAGCATGCCCCAAACTGGTGGGGTTCCAAATGGAGTGCAAGCATAAAGGCTTTTCTCTCTTGCGGACCCCTTTCCTCCCCTCGTCATCAGGAAAGAAGAGCCAAGAGCCTGCTGATTCTCAGGGCTCTTGGTGGGAAAACAGCTGAGCAAGGGTTTCTTCATCTGAGAGCCTGACAAGTGATAGATCCCATGCATGGCACCCCCACATCCCTGGCATATCTTGGGGCTTTTCCTGGAAAAGTCCATAATGGATTTGCGGTCTTGAAAACCCCAAGCTGAAACACCCTCGGCCTCAGGATTTCCCCCCTTCCCGAATGCCAACTCCACTCCAGGCTGCCTCCCACAGTCTAACCAAAGTCCCAAGGCGCGCAGGCAGAGGGAGCCTCTCACCCCACTCACACACATCGACATCCACTCCTGGCCTTACTCTTTCTCAAATATCTTTTCGCATAGCCCTGGTTCTGCTAAACAGAAAACAATAGCTTGCCTTGGCAGTAAGAGAACCAGAAAGGCTGGAGAAGAGCCCAGCTTCAAAAATTCTGCTGCAGAGACTCCTTTGACGTTAATCCTGGGGTTCCTGGTTAGTATTTCCCACATTCCGTAACCAGCTTTGAGCTCTAGACATCCTGACTTCTCCCCCTCTTGCCACTTTGGAGCCTTCTCTTCCAAGAAATAGCCACCAGTATGACCACACTGTGGTCACTATCTGTTCCCAGCCAAAGGCTCGGGATTTTCACTTCTACTCTCTTTTCCCGCTATACACCTGATTTTTCATTGGACCCTATTTTGATTTGTCTGCTCATTGCCTGTGAGGGTCCCCTCCCAGGATGGGGATGTAGGACAGATCTTCTCCCAGAACTTCGTCTGTCTAACTCAGTCCTGCTAGCCTGGGTTGTTTCCAGAAAGACACACAGACAGAATCAACCATCCCACCAGAACTTCGACCTGAGCCTCCTACCCCCAGAGGGCGATTAGGAATCCAACAGGTGCCTTTGACGTAGAGCTTCGGAGGAAACGAGGATTGGTGGCCACTGAGCCTTGGAACCCAAGAGCCAAGGAACTCATAATGTTCCTTCCTCTTAAAAAAGAGGCAGTTGAAACCCAGAGCCAATCCCTAAGGAAAAGGCAGCTAAACCACAGTCCTCACTCAGCCCCTGTGCCTCCTCTCCATCCATAAGGTCATGCTAGCCCCCGGCAGATAATCACAGGACCCAAACCCCCCAACAGACCAGCACTCACCTGTTGCGTAGCTCAGCTCAAAAGCCAGGGTCAGAATTAGCAGGAGGCTCAAGGACAGGAGCCCCTTGGTATCCATCAGCTAGGGGGGACAGAGGAAGGGGGCCTGGCCGGGAGCCCGGCAGTTGCTCAAGATGCCAGGGCAGAAACAGGCTCCGCGTCCGACAGGGCTGCTCTGCTCTCTAGTTTACGCATCAGGAACCAGGCAACTTCCTGTCTCACTGGGACTTTTTTCTGCCTGTTTCTCGAGGATTGCTCATGTCTCTGCAGGCTTTATATCACTGTGCTGTTCTTGAGAAGCACGTACAAGTCAGGCACTTTGATTACTGGAGCCGGGAAAGAGATTGTGAAGTCACTTTGGCCAAACCCTGGTTTGGGGTTGAAATGTGCTCCCCTCTCTCTTTTTTTTTTTCCCTTCGCTGTTTCCAGGAAATGAGTGTCACAGCCTCTCTGAGCAGCTCTCTCTGGTAAACTCTTAGAGTACCCTAGCCCTGAGTAATTTTGCCAGAATACCCCACAGATCTGATAGTTCAAACCTGAACTTACGTGACTGAACTTTGACGAGGTGATGTTTTCCTCCATGATCTGGGGGAATACCTATACCTGCAGTGGGGTCCTGGGACCTCAGTCACAGAGAGCCAGGGTGGATCACTGGGCACAGCGTGGTGGAACTGAGCAAGCCTCATGCTGGTGGGCTTTGAGGAGGTTTTTCCCTTTTGGGGAGAAAGGGATGGAATCGGCAGAAGAGAGACCAGCCATCAGAATGGAACACTGAAAAGTACTATTGTGGGTGTTCACAAAGAGACTCTGAAATCAGGGTCCATATTGACAGGCCACAGGCATACTTCTATTGGCCTGCCCAGGGTGGCAGGGTAGTCAGAGCTGTGGAAGGAGGTGAATTGGCTCTTTTTCTTTCATTTCTGCCACTCCTCCTTCCCCAGTACCCAACTGTAATGTGTTGGACCTGGTACAAACCAACTCATGAGAGACAGTTGTTAAATATTCAAGAATCTTGTGAGCTGGTTGACAAACATGGCCATTATGAAATTATATACATTTATGAAAACAAACTTCAGGCCAGGGATGTGATTCAGTGGTAAGAGGGCTTGTCTAGCATGTACAGGTTTTGATACCCAGTATCTTACACACACACACACACACACACACACACACACACGAATCTCATAAATGTACAATTAAATTATATTCATTTAAATATACTTAAAACAGAGAATCAAACGTCAAAAATTCATTACTTCCTAATTATTACACTACGTCATTGTTCTCTACGCTCTTGATGTCATCGATGCCCCTTGAAATCTGTATGATGGAAATAATGCACTAGATCATGGTCGCTATTGCACCTCTCTTACCAACTCTGCATTAAATGACATCATCATCAGCCATGAAGGAAATTAATATCATGGAAATTGACAAGCACTGTAAATCAGGGCTTTAATTTAGTGTTTTGTTGGTTGTCTCGAGATACGGAAGCAAAGGGGAAAACATAATTGATGACAATTAACCTTATAAGTGTGGCCCATTACATTGTGAAGTGAACGGCATTTTAAAAATGAAGGAAATATTTTTCCAGTGTTCAAAAACTTCCATCTGATGCAGCAAAAAGTCACTAGCATCACTGATGAGGAAGTGGTGCCCCCACCTATGTCTTTGTTGCTTCACATTTCTTTAAATTATAGGACATTGGCCAACATTCACGTTGAAACTGCATTCATCAGTTGTAACCACAGGTTGGTCATGGATACTAGTGAAGCCCACAGAAATACAGGAACTCTGTGAGGATCAGTTGGCTATATGGAATTTACAATAGAGGATGTTGTACATTTTAATAAAATATAACAAATTGTATTTTGTAAATTGTGGGTTATGTATCCTTCATGTACGTAAATGTGTGTGTATATATGTGCAGATATAATTTTAAGAGAGCTGGTTATTAACTCTTTACCAGCACACTACTATCACAACTGAGAATACAAGTGATGGAGTGAGTGGCATACTCTGGGTATATTTATAAAATATCAGCTGGAATACAACTAAATAATATGGTATCTCATTCTCCTACATATTATCTCAAAAAACATACAACCACTCAATTGAGACAGAGTGACCCCCCTATGATGTTAATACACATATATTTTGGCTTTTTAAAAGACATATATATATGGGCTGGGGATGTGGCCCAAGCAGTAGTGGGCTCGCCTGGCATGTGCAGCGTGCTGGGTTCTATCCTCAGCACCACATACAAATCACAAAAATAAAGATGTTGTATCCACTGAAAACTAAAAAATAAATATTAAAAAATTCTCTCTCTCTCCCCTCTCTCTCTCTCTCTCTCTCTCTCTCTCTCTCTCTCTCAAAAAAAGAGACACATATATTTTGGCTTTTTAAAAGACCATTAAATGCTGTAGTCTTTCAAGATAATATGATCTAGCTAGGCATGGTGGTGCACACCTGTAATCCCAGCTGCTCGGGAGGCTGAGGCAGGAGGATCACAAGTTTGAGGTTGGCCTCAGCAACTTAGTGAGACCTTGTCTCAAAATAAAAAAATATAAAGGACTGGGAATGAAGCTCAGTGATAAAGCACCTCTGGATTCAGTCCCAGAAACCTTGCCTCCCTCAACACGCACACATACACACCCACAAATCATCTAATCCTTGAAACACTTTGGTGGAGTTCTTATGATTAATTCCATTTTATAAACAGTGATCAGGGTCTAACTCAAAGATTGATGTTGTCTCCTTGAATCACACAACTACTAGAATGCAGGCGCTAGTGTAAGAAAGGGTCAAGCCCCTTTCTTTCCAAAACGGGCACTTACATTCATGAGTATTTTGCCCTTCTTCTCATTTCTAGAATTAACCCTTCTGTAGCCTTACCATGTGGCCACTCCACCCCATTCCCCAGGATCCTCTTGGCAGACCCACATCGGGCTAGTTCTAGGCCTTAGTCTGAGGGATTTACGGTTCAGTGTGACCCAAAGCTAAAGAAGTTGGTACGCTGAGGGAGGCCAGAGAAGTTTTTACTATAGCGCCTGAGGCCCTGTAGTGAGTTAAACGGTCTCCCCTCTCAAATTCTTGTCTACCTGGAACCTTGGACTGGGAGCTTGTTTGGAATAAGGGTCTTTCAGATGTCATTAAGGTAAGGATGGAGATGAGATCCTGTACTTGGTGAGGGTGGGGCCAAAATTCAGTGAGAGTGTTTTTAGAAGAGAGAAAAGGGACAGAGACCACATGTAGAGGCAGAGGCAGAGGCTGGGTCTGTGCAGCTACACTCCAAGGAACACCTCAGAACACCAGAGACTGGAAGAAGCAGAGAAGGATACTCCCCTAGAGTCTTCAGAGGCACCTGGCCCTCCCGATCGATGCCTAGTTTTGTACTTCTGGCCTACAGAGCTGTGAGAGCAGGAACTGCTGCTGTTAAGTTACCAAGACTGCGGCAATTTTATTTTTATAGCAGCTACGGGAAGCTCATACGGGACTAAGGTAAGTTGACTGACCCCAGGTGGGCAGTTAGTGCCCTTACTATACCAAATACTTGTTTCCTTCAGCTAGACAAGTCAGCAACAGAAGAGTCACCGGTGAAAACGCCCTTTTCAGAAGGCCTCACGTTGTGGGCCTTATTTGGTCCTCACAGCAGCCCCAGGAAGCAGGCAGAGCTCCTGGGTGTTGTAAGGTGTGGTACCAAAGTCGGGAATCCTGACTCTAGGTCAAGGACTCCTTTTCTTTGACTAAAATGAATTTATTGTTTTTTTTCCCCCCATGAACACTCAAGAGGGTACGGAGGAAGGATTTCCCACTAATTGAACTCCCCAGTTAGTTATCTGGAGTTTCCACATCTATTAGTTTGTTAATCTTCCTAGTAGTAATGAGTAGTCACAATTTTTACCTTTTTACAGATTGAGGCTGTTATAGAAGTCGTCCAATGCTCAGAGACAAAAAAAAGAAAAAGAAAAAGAAAGAAAGAAAGAAAAAGAAAAAAGGAGGAAGAGGAAGAGGAAGAGGAAGAGGAGGAGGAGGAGGAGGAGGAGGAGGAGGAAGGACTGGGTCCAAACCCTGGATTGTTGACTCCAGTCTGTGCCCTACCTATTCACTATAGCATTTCCATTCTAGGAGCAGAAACCTCAGCCAACCTTAAAACTCATACTGGTCAGCGGCCGTTATCATGAGAACATTTCTTCGGGCACAGACCCAGGCATGGGCAGCAGGAGACTCCTGGATGAGCACCGTGTGCCCTCCCTCCCTGGCCTCCAGCATTCGTGGCACAGCACCACCTCCTTCCCTTTGGTGACGCACAGCCCACCCAAGATTGAGGACAGCCATATTTCCACTGAAAACTGCCTTCCCCAAACATCCTCAGTTGGCCTTTGCAATGAGGTCATACCCTGCTCTTAAATGCAAGGGCTTAACGTCTCCCTGAGACTTGCTGCCACTCTCTCTCTCTCTCCCCCGACACTTTTGGCTAGGGGTGGCAGAGTGACCTTCCTGATGGTGTTTGGGGCTGGACTGATCCCAAACATATGGGTTTCCCAGCCAAAGCCTTGTCTTCGTCATCGCCTCTGACCAGGGGTCCCTGTGATAAAAGGCCAGACAGACCTACAGGGTAGTCACTGAGGGGCAGGACGGACCACCTGGCCACATGGGTCTCATGATGAGCACATTTATCTGGATAAGTAAAGAAAAAAAAAAACCCATAAAAACAAAATGAAAATACAAAATTTCCCCAAACTCTAAACATCTCCTAGGTGATCTACTTGTAGAGTCTAAAACTGGCCTGGGGAAAGCACTGGGAAAAACACCCTGGGGTCTGTCCTGCTGGGCGAGATGAGGAAGCCCGCGAGGGCAGATGTCTGACATGGGCTCTGAGCTGATCAGTGGACCAGACAGCCCTGTTGTGGGGCTGGGTCTGTGGGAGTTGAAGGGAAAGTGGGGGGGGGATGAAACTAGATGGGGTGGTTGTTTTCACCCAGTTCTCTTGCCCTTGTGATCATGCTCAGCAGACACCTTCCAGGGCAGAGGGACGTACTGAATGGCCCAGGGCCAAGGAGGAGGAGGGCCGGA